TAAATTAGTTTTGAATGGTAAAAGGGTGGGGTGAACTAGTTAACTCTCATTTAAAGTCTGATCCAGACTTAGAATCGGGTAGCAGCCCCGTTTCCTGGCAGCACGTGGCATTTTTATCACGCTGACATTTTCCTTTTTCTGAAATAATTCTATAGATGTATAGCACGTGCCAGCCACAAACAGCTTTGTTGTGTCCTGTGTGCACAGAGTTTCAGCATTAATTAAATCACTTTGTTGCGGAAGGAGCCAAGGGAAGCTCATTTAATCTGGCATTAAATAAACAAACAAGCAAACGTAACATCATCATGGCTCTCTGTAGTTTCTGGAGCATCTCCTTGACCATGCTGACCATGACAAGAGCAGGGCAGAGAGCCTCAGCCTGCAAACACTGTGGGCAGGTTGGTGCTGAGGGTCACCACGGTCTGCACCCCACAGAAATCACAGTGTTTAATGGTGTTCGAGCCCCAGCCGATCTGTGGTTATAGTCAGTCTGCAAACATGTGGCTCATGCCAGTCACCAGCAACTGCTGGAGCACAAGGTGCTGCTCTGCTCTGCTCTGTGAGGTGGCTGCAGCAGGAGGTTAGGTAGGAAAGCTGACTGCCTGAGGCGGGGAGTTCTGCTACTGAATTCAGTTCATTTTTTTTCCCCTAGAAAAATAAAATTTCTGTTTCTGAAAGTGGTAAAATGTAAGTTAAAATCCAGGATTGTGAATGCCTGAAAGCTTTGTACAGGTGGATGAAAACCAAATTCCTCCTCCCTCCTCCTAGCCACCCTGGCCAGACCCCAATGTAATTTTCCCCTTTTCCGGCTGCTTCCCAAGGGCTGGAATGTTGGGTCACCCAAACCACCACTGCCAGGTCTGGTTCCAGGGTGCAAACAGGGATCTGTGTAAGGTGAGCCTGGCCAGTGTAAGGAACCTGCCTGGTGAACTTTGCCAGCTCCTTATCCCCACACTCCCCTTGCTTACGCTTCACCCAGCTCATGTAAATTAATAGCAGCGTTGGATTTCCTGTCATATCTACCTGCTGCTCTTGGCAAGTTCAGCTCTGAGATAGGAAAAAAAAAAAAAAGCTTGGCTGTTGCTATGGAGACCATTAGACAGAGTGATACCAGGAACATCTTCCACACTGGTACCACAGGGTGCTCACATGTAGGTCCCGGCACCCAGCTGCTGGCTGTGGAGGGAGTGGGGTATCCCTGCTTCTCATCCTCCCCCTGTACTGCCCTGTGGGATTCCAGTGAATACTGGTCTGGTCTCCTGGGTCTCCTACAGGCTGTATTTAGGCAGGTCTTCCTCAGCCTGGAGCTTCTCTCAAGCTCTCTTTGAACAAGCTTGTGGGTTGGACGTGTCCCCAGGGATGGGCAGAGAAATGCAGGGCAGCAGCTCCTTCCTGGTGCTGGCTCTAGGACTCTGGGAGCCTACTGTGTGATTGGGAACTCAGTGAAACGGGGCGTGTGGCAAAACCAGTTGGTGGAGGAAGATTCAATCATTTTCAACACTTCTGCTGCTGCTTCTGCCATGGGAGGTGTGTCAGGAGTGGGTCCTGAGATTACTTAACGCAGGTCCTCTGTTGGAGAGCAGGATGATTTAATGCATGTGCTCATAATGTCCCCAGTTCCTTGACAGCTTTTTCACTACAGTCAAAGCAAAGGGAGTAGTTCATGCACTGTGGCACAAAATCTCTATATCTCCCTTCCATTTCTTCAGCACAGAGTGAGCTCAAAGATTCTGCGAGGCTGGAGGATGCTGCCCAGAGCAGCCAAAGTGACAGTTTGTCCTGCTTGGAAATGACCTTGCAAGGAGCATCCCTGTGTGCTTGTTCAACAGCCTCTCCTGTAGCTCCTCTAGACAAGGTCATGCAGGTTGTCAAGTTCAGGTTTCAGCTCTAGGATGACTGACGGAGCCCTTTCATCTCCAATGTCACAACACTTCAACCTGCATCAGAGGCTGCTGTGAGGCCTGCCAGGTTGACATGAATTTTGTTAAAGCTACCCACGAGAAATTTGTAACTTGGCGCCAGGCTCTCCAGGCCTGTCTTTTGTGATACAGGCAGATCCCTGTGGGACTCAGACACTTGACTGAACTGGGGAATCTCAGTGTCCTTGATCAGCCCAAGGGAGAAATTAGAGCTATGGAGGAGAAGCCTCGGGCAGTGGTATGACCACCATCCAGAGAGACCAAACCAGATTGCACAAACACCAGCAGCTCAGTGTTTTGAGTAAAAAAGGGCTGGATTTGGCATTTGTGAAGCAATCTCCAACCTATGTGAGCAAATCACCTATGAAGAAACCAGCCTGTCTAGGGACATACCAAATCACACTGGTGGCTTTGCAGCTCTTCTGAATTATCCAGATGGCCAGTTTCCTCAAAAAACACAGAATGAGTGTAACTCTGGTAGTGTTTGTGAGGTCTCCCTGGAGAGGAGAGTTACAGGTGGAAATACTGATACTTAAAGCAGTTCATCAGTCAAGATCACTTCTACTGCTCTTCCCTCTTTTAACAATGGCACTGATGAACACCCTGTGTGGAACAGAGTGGGTGGATCTTTCCAACCACTTGCATCTGGAAGCTGGGCTCCAGGCATTCTTGGCCCTCTTCCAGGAGAGAAGAGAATGATGGTCACCCAGCATCCCACAGCTCAAGAGCTGGAGCATCCTACGGTTGACAGTCAAACAGGGAAGTGGCAAATATTTGTTAGAAAGTAAGTAACTTTAGTGTACTAAATAACTAAGTAACAGAGAAAGATTATAGCCTGTTCATTAGATCTTGTACTGGACTTATGATCCAAGCTCTTAATGTGCTCCAGGCCCTGTTACCTCTTACTCTTCGCAGGGGCAATGAGCTGATGGTTGTGGTTGGGCATCCACCCAATCCCACTGTCTGCTCCTCAGCTGTCAGGAGTTACAGCTCTTCGCATTGGAACAGCACAGTGTCATTGTATCTTCTGCCTGCAGTTTGCTTCTGCATCCGAAATGGATGATGTGGGTTTTTATCTTCCTTTGCCCTAAGCAATGCCTCCAAGTGAACAATGACTTACAGGAAAAGCAAAACCCATCTTCTCCTTAACTCACCTAAGTGGAGGCTACAGAGCAAGTGGAGCAGGTTAGGGGCCTCAGAGAAATGCATGTGGTGTCTTGAGACAGCTCTGCTCAGCCTGATAAATGCAGCAGAGGTGATTTGGAGCTCCGAGCCCGTAAAGTGAGTTGTTCCTTTACTTGTGCTTTGTCAGATAGAGCCTCTGCCCTCCAAAATTGCATTTTCTTGCCAGGTGAATAATATGACTACTTTAAAAAGCATAAAGGAAAGCAGCAGGAGATGCTATTTAATTTCTTTATCTACTGCAAATAGAAGATTTCTGGATTCATCATGTGGAGACTTAACAAAAGAGACTTAACTTTAGAGAGAGACTTCAAGCACCTGGCTGAAGGAACTGACAGCACTGTGCCATGCAGATCAGCAGCCAAGGAAATCTCACCTTACCAATCCATCTCCTCCCACCGGAGACATGATCATCCACCCAGATCCCTCTGTCTCTTTGCACATACTGTCTTTGTTCAAGCTCCAAGCATTGACTTAGTGGAAAGTAGTTACAATATAAATAGCATTCCAGAAAAAAATTATGTATTTCTGTGTGGAGAGTGTGAGGACTCAGCTGATCTGAAGGCAATGCAAGCACCTGGGCCAGCCATGCCCCAGCCTGACTTCTGACAAGGTAACAGAGGTGCTCAGTGTCCAGCAGCAGATCAGAAAAATGCAATGCAAACAGGGACTGGTATGTTAGAGGCCAAGCAGTCTTCATGCCAGAGCTTGCAGAAGAGCCACGGCTTCAAGCAGCATACCAGTGATATCTCCAAATTAGAGAGACATGGATTTGATGGATGGACTATTCAGTGGATAAGGAATTGGCTGAATGGATGCAGAGTCTAGGTGGAGGCTGGTGATGAGTGGTGTCCCTCATGGCTCTGGTCTTGGAACTGGTGCTCTTCCGTATGTTCATCAGTGACACAGATGAAGGGGTTGAGTGCACCCTCAGCAAGTTTGCAGATGACGCAAAGTTGGGTGGTGCAGGTGACATACCTGAAGGATAGGATGCCATCCACAGGGAAGTTCAACAAGTCAAAGTGCAAGGTGCTGCACCTTGGTCAGAGCAATCCTAGACATAAGTACAGACTGGGAGAACTCATCAAGAGCAGCCCTGTGGAGAAGACTTGAGGTTTCTCATGGATGAAAAGCTGAACATGAGTCAACAATGTGTGTTCACAGCCCAGAAAGCCAGTTGTATCCTGGGCTGCATCAAAAGTGTGGCCAGATAGTCCAGGGTGGACATTCTGCCCCTCAGCTCTTGCAAGACCCCACCTGGAGCACTGCATCCAGCCCTGGGGTTGCCAACACAAGAAAGACATTGACCTGTAAGAGGGTCACAAAGATGATCAGCGGGCTGGAGCACCTCTCCTGTAAAGTCAGGCTGAGAGAGCTGGGGTTATTCAGCCTGGAGACGAGAAGGCTCTGGGTAGAGCTCATAGCACCTTCCAGCACCTCAAGGGGGCTTATAAAAGGGAGAGAGATGACTTTTTATAGGGGCACATAGTGACAAAACAAAGGGCAATGGTTTTAAACTAAAAGAGTATAGGTTTAGATTAGACATTAGGAAGAAATTCTTTACTCAGAGGGTGGTGAAGCGCTGAACGGGTTACCCAGAGAAGTTGTGGATTCCCATCCCATCCCCGAAAGTGTTCAAGGCCAGGCTGGATGGGGCCCTGAACAACCTTGTCTAGTGAAAGGTGTCCCTGCCCATGGCAGAGGGGTTGGAACTCGATGATCTTTAAAGTCCCTTCCAACCCAAACCTTTCTATGATTCTATGTTTGAAACTGTTCTAATTTACTCAAAGTGAGCAGTTTTGTTGTGCAGATAGGAACACAAAGCTAGCTCTAACTCACTGCTAACTGCTCTAGACATTTTTTTTTAATTAAACAAAAACAGCCCATCAGTGAGGAAAATGAATCTTTATTTTTTTTTCTCTAAAAGCAGAATCCATGTACAGGGTTTTTTGTATGGTTTAAAGGTGGTTTTAAGATGTGAATAGTCACATCACAGAAATAATACAGAACAACCAGTGAAGGAACAAAGAGCCAGTTTGACAACTGCTTTATCAAGTAGCCCAAACATTATTTTTAACTAATGGTTTTGTCAGAGTGGACTTCAGGACAGTATTAAAATCTCACCTACTCAACACAAGTACAGAGATAATGAGTGGGAAAAGAACTCCAAAACACAATTATTGCTGCTGTATCTGCATTTGTTTCCTTGCAGGATACTCTAGTATGCTGGGAAAATGGTTTTTATCTGAATGACATTCTTAATGAAACTGATATTTTAATAGAAATTAACCAACCAGCCAAACTAACATGGTAAATTAGACTTCATCTGAGACCAAAAGATAATGGACTGTTCTAGAAAAAGCAGAGAGGTTTTGTTTCATAAGGCTAAGAGTAGACCGTTATACTTTGAAACACTGAGAATAGATGTGCTTAAACAGCTCAGGAAATTGGGTTTGTAGTTGTTCCCGACAACCGCAAAGGGCAATCCTGGCCGAGTGACCTGTCAGCACCAGGGAGATCTCACCTCTGTTTGGGAGGAGGTGGCTCTCCAGCTGTGCTCCTCAAGGCCCCAGCCCTCTTGCACTTACACACACGCCAGTTTTACTCAGTTCTTCTCTAACGTCAGTAGATTTGGCCCATGTAAGTACTTCTGTTGAAGTCAGCTGTCTGTGTTCAGGAGACTGGGCCCTCCAAGGGCTATTTAGTGTGAGAGGGAATGAGAACTATTGCAATCATTTAGGTTAAAGGGTAGATAGAATAATAAACACTTCAAGTGCAAGTTATGGCAACCCCTTAAGACCTGCAAATGGAAGCTGATAAATTATTTAAAGCACACTCTTAACTATGAACCACACACTGTATTCGGTAGTGCCTTTATAAACACTTACTTATAGTCCATGTGTATCAGTAAATTACCTTATACTGCACATGAAGTAAAACCCAGCATACAGTAGGATGTTTCACACCAAAGGAACATTTCCCATGGGATTAGGTGCCTAGATCATCAGTTTCTGATGAAACCTTAAGATGTATGAAATGTATTCTAGAACAACTGAAGATGAAGTCTGAACATCTCTCATGTTACTGAGCAAAAGGTTATCTGGAACAACCATTTCATACAGATGATTAAACAATGTGCCCATACATATTTAATTTGAAGAAAATTCTTAAACTATGCCTCTCTAAAATTTATGAAGTATATAAAACACATGATTTTACATTTATAAAACCTCAGCCCTTTTATAAAAAACAGAACAAGGCCATAGGGTTTTAATTTTAAATCTACTGGTTTTTCTTTTCAGCAGTTTTAGTTCCTACGATAAAAAAACCGCAACAAACAGCACTCCACCATGGCCTTATAATGCCAGGAATAAATTATCAAGTCACACTGTAAATAAAAATAAATAATTTCCAAGTTATTTTTATAAAAAAAAAAAGGTCTCTTTAATTGCACAGTATTTTAAATTTTCAGTAGCAATGAAAAGTCATTTGGGTATTTTTCTAAATGCTCCAGAGAGTAGGAAAGCATTGTGTCTCATTTTTCAAGCTTTACACATTGAAAATACCTCGGTCAAACTCATCAACTGATAAAACTGATAAATATTTTGGTAGTGTCTTACTGTGGCAAGATGCTGTGGTATCTCTCACCCAAGGCATTTAGTCCTCTGGTGCTCCCCTTGCTGGGCAAACACCCCCAGCTTCCCGTTCCAAGTGAGGTACTCTGGTTTACAGCAACAGCTTTGATATTTTTGGAAAGGTGTTCTCCATGAGCCACAACTTTCCCAGTAGAAGTTCATCAACAGCTCAACAACAGTCCAACATCCTCGAAGGCTGCTAAAGTCTCCTTTGAGGGCTTCACCAGACTGGCACGCCTTCTTTTTGGGGTGTCACATGAACGCATCAGGCTTTTGGCTCTCCCCAGAGCTATTCTGCACTGGAGGACCAAGCTACAACTCAAACATACCAAATAAAATGGGACACCTGAAAAGATTTGATCTTCAGACCATTAGCAGTATCTTAAACCCACTTGCCAAATATATGTGTGTATATATACAAATAGATATATATATGTGAGTCCACACACATATTTTAAAAAATAAAAGACAACAAAGTGATTAATACTTCCATAGCCTAGGCATGTTTAGCTCAAAGTTAATTATCTACAGGACATATTTAAAAACTCTAAATATTGGCAACAAGTTGTTGTATAGAAAACAGTTGTAGGCAGATGTGTAATGTATGTGTATTCAAAATACCGTGTATCTATATACTATTACTGATGTAGCTACAACAGCTTGGGATTTTATCTAAAAATACAGAGTTTCTGCTAAGTATCAAAACAACTCTCAAGTACTGAAGACAAGGGAACGTGTTGCCCTCTTCTTAGCAGAGGGACTGCCCTAACTTGAAGGTACTTAATCCTTCACTGCACCTCCACAACTCAGCTGGCACAAAGACAGTATCACTGAACTACCTTTACTATTTTAAGTATCATGGGACATTACAGGTCAGTTATTTGCATCAGTGCAATGATACAGACAAAGGTAGAACCTGACCAGTATAATTGTGTCCATGTTTGTTACTGGTGTCCTTTTTGAAAGAGGACTGATCTCCTCATCGTGGAGGAATTCACACGCAACTCCTTGATCTGTTATCTCAGCTAAACAAAAGGAAGTATATTTTGTCACAGTAAATTTGCTTTATCCAACATAAGAGAGTCTAAGGGGAACTAGCACAACATTAAACCCACCAAATCACTCCTACTCTTACATTTTTAACGCGTTTTCACTGCTTGAGCACAAAGTACAGAATCTGTTACAAGAATTCTCTAGCAATCAACACACTTTTGGGGATTCAATACTGCATTGAGCGTACGCAGAGGCAGTTGGTACTGACAACTCAGGTCCGGGCACAGCACACACGGTCCCACGCGCCTCCTTGCCCCATTATCACAACGTGGCGAAGCCTGCTGGTCCAGTGCTCTGGGCCAGACTGCCACATGTACATGGTAGGAAGCATTCTGATGCTCCCATGATAGGGAAAAAGACAAAACACTTCCATTATATGCACATGTTTTTGTTCATGCTTAAAGGAATTGAACTTTTGGCAGAAGTAAATCCCTACATAAAAAACAAAGGTAGAAACCCATTTCAAACACAAATATAATAATTTCATTATTAAAACAGCTGTATCTACACTACGGTGTAGTACTTCAGTGTAATTCCATTTAAAAAAATCTTAGTGTACAACTAAGATGAGACCCATTTCCCAGTCCAAACCTCAGCATCAGGGCTGCATCGATCTCTACTTTAAAACATGCTCTACAGATGGTGACCAACCAAATCCAGGGAAAAACTGTTGCCACAGGTGAAGAGGTCTTCTCCCTAACCAGACAACACAGGACAGATGGTGGAGAGCCCCTCCGGTATTGCCGCAGGGACGGGCAATGGCAGAACCTGCAGAACACCAGCAGTGGGAGCTGCAGGAGCACTACGTCCTGAATTGGTTTGCTGAACATGGTTCAGATTATTGGATATTTCTATAGCACAATGCTCTTTAGAAGCATTTACTGTATACCCAAACTCTACTTGCTGCAACACATGGTGTCGCACAAGTAGCGAAAACGTCTTCGTATTCAAAGGTGCTTGGACATCATTTTCAGGCAGCATTTTACCTTTATTTTAGTGGGTTCCCACTACAAAGATTTTAGAAGGAAGATGCCAATAGTTTTTTATATGTGGAATTGAGACAGACACCTAAACGAATATCTACTGTTACTTGCCTAAGTCTATCCTATGTCTGAAATCTCTAATTTTTAAATAAGGGATAAAATGTTGCCCAAAAGACTAGTTATAATTATACATTTGTGTTTCTACTAAATCTAAAAATCAAAATAGTTCTCAGTTAAAAAGATACAATTTGTATCAACAGTAAAAGGTACTTTCTGGTTCTTCAGGGCCTTACTTAAAATTCCAGCAAGTGTATCAAAACTATCAGCTGTAATAGTGTAAACTAGTGACTTTTTTTTAATACTGAACATTGTTATAGTGGATGAAAACCTAAACTGTCAGCAACTGATCATGTCATGTAAGTACATCTGACATCAATTGCAATATCTACTTATTTTATTTATATATATATATGTAAGGTTATGATGAGGTGCTAGTAAAACCCATGATTTAAAACCAGAAAATCCCTTACTAATGCTAAAACAGACTTGGTTTATCCGTTTCTAAAACTACACTATTTGTGGCAAGAATCAGGCCTACATGATGCAAAAGGCGAAAAACTAATTTCAGGAACAGATATGGTATCTTCTCTCCCCACAACCCTCCCCAAGTGAAACAGAAAGGAAAAAGAAAAGTTTAAGTTATTATTTTGAGCTACAATATCATTACCATAGTGCAGTTAATAAATGTTGCATATCCTGAACACACAAAACCTTTTCAGGCCAGCCTTGATAAATAGCAACAAAAATCAAACAGTATCTTAAATACAAAACTTGCATTGAGATAATTAAATTCATTTAAAAACAGGTAAATATTTTATGAAAAACCATATTTTATCCAGTACAGTTATGCAGCAATACAAAGAAAAAAACATCTAAAACAACTAAACATGACCCTATGATTTCAGGTCCCCTTTTACTGACCAGAAATACACAGAGCTGGGTAACAACACAGGGGAACTGATACAGGGTGGCCTGATTCGGGGCGGTTCTGAGCATTTGCAGCTTCTCTTACCTTCAAGGGGGGAAGCAAATTCTCATTAACTTTGAAAATCAGGCAATAAGGCTTTTACCATACCCATAAATTAGTAAAAAAAAAAAATATTTTTTTCTCCTCTGTTTGCATCTGATCTTACTAATCTACTGCATCAACAAAATATGTAACTATTTAAACAAAACAAAGAAAATAATGAAAAGTGCCATACTATAAATTACCAATATATTGTTACCCATTTCACTGTTAACTGGTAACTTAATTATTTGTTAAAAAAAAAAAATGAAGTCAGTGCTGTAGTAAATCTTTGTTTTCTATAAAGAGATGATTACAGCACAAAAAAAAGCTCACAAACCCAAACAAACATACATCAGACATACTTATGGTGTTGTAAAAAGTTCACAAACTTCGCTTGAAAATTGCTTGCCAGAACTAGGAAAAATCCTCTTTCTGTAGGTTGTTTTAATACCTCACAGCCCAAGGACAAGCATCCAGCAAGTTAAAAAACTAAACCAAAAATCCCAACAACACGTAACAAGGATAGAAAGTGCTGCATATAAACCCCTGATGCACCAAAGATTATAACCAGAGACCACAGATTATTTTTATATATATATATATATATATATTAATTTAAACTGGAACATCCTCCAGCTGTGAAAATAGCCATTTAAAAATTTTCAAACTAGAACACAAAACATTATCTGGTACTTCCAATGCATGGGGCTATACACACAGACTCCATGATACAGTATTTCACATAAACGGATTACTATATAACCTCCTTGCTGAGAAGGAGATCACAAATGCTATTGTAGCAAACCTCCCTCAGCCTTAGAGCTGAGCTGAAAACTACTAGACACCACAAAGATGCATCATCTCTCAATAACCTAGCTGAGACTTTTCCACTAAGATGGCTGCAGCGAGCTGCTGAGCGTCTGTCACGTGAGGGTTCTTCTTCATGACGATCCTGACCAGATCAGGGGGGAAGATGTTGCAGAGGTTAATGTAAACCTTCTCGCGGGTGTCTTGGTGCCTCGCAGGGTCTTGAGGGATTCCACAGTAAGGTACACGCCAAGTCTGGTCCTGCTGTTCAGGGAGGCTTTGGAAGGCAAACTGCTCATAACACGGCTGCGTGGGGTTACTCGGCAAGGAGTAGGTTTGGCGGTAGCCGTATGCATCCATCCCGTAACTCTGCCTATCCCAGCCCCCGAGCCCATCTTGGCCAGAATAAGGCTTTCTGTGTCTTAGAGGAGAATTATCATACAAGCGTGAGTCTGAAATGCTGTCTATTCTCGTGGACACAAGGGCTCTCCCCAGGTGCATGCTCTTTGAATGTGGTGAACTCGGAGATGTGGAGTAGTCGTTCGGACAACTGGACCGAGCACCGACTGTCGGATGCTGCAGATGCACAGCCATGTATGGAATTGGAGATTTGTGGTGATGCTTTGGTTCTTCGTGACTATAGCTTTGTACTCGCATGAGAGGCTCGTGGTAGCTCTGTAGGAAGGGCTGAGTGTTAAGGCGGCCGTGTGGGTGCATATGTTGGCACTTCAAGTTCTCCTCCAGCTGTGGGTCAGGCGAACTCATGTAAGAGCGATCGCTGTAACCCACGTAGGAGTCACTACTGCCACAGCTAACGCTCCCTTCACTGCTGCAGTCGGAAGCTACAGAGCTAATCCTATAATCTGTGTCCAAGGAGAAGCGCCTTTCGGGACTACGTGGACCAGATATACTTAGATTTGAATATGCACTCAGCATAGAATAATACCCTACATCCACCGGAGACTCACATTTTGGATACTGGTCATAAGGCATTGGCGTTCCATGATTTTTGGTTGCCATCATCACTGTAGGATACTGGCCCTGTGATCTTTGATCCTGAGGTGGGAAGTGAACTCCGGATGGAAGGCCGTTAGTTAAAGGTGCAGTACTTTGGGGTTTTCCAGCAGAGGAACTTGGTATACTAACTAAAGAAGGTACAGACCTGGTTTCCAATTTGTTTTTGGTGGGAAGCTTTTCCTCTAAGTCTTGATAGACTTGAGTCCTTATACTAGGATCCGATTGCCTCTTTGGAGCAGCACGCTTCAGCTCAGAAGTGCTATCATTTTTAGTGCTACAGGGAACACTATTGCTTTTTACCAGTCCTCCTTCACTTGTACTTTTGGCAGCTGTGCTTCTAGACATGGCACGAAGTTCATCAGCTACAGATCGCTGAGGCTGATTTCCTCTTTCTGGATGATAGTATTTGCATTTGTGTCCATAGGTACATTTCTTCCCTATTAGTATAAACATAATCAGATTAAAAAAAAACCCTTCAAATAAAATCTGTTTGAATTGAATATAACAGAAATAATAATAAATATCAACATCATATAAACATCAAATAATAGAAATGCCTCTCATTTAAAGTTTTATTGTTGATTTGAAAGGTCTTGCAAATGGTTTTGTGTGACATGGGGCATGAACAAAGATCTCCCTTGTATTGCAGAGAAAGAAGAGGCAGTAGTAGCATGCTGCAGCTAGTGCTCTAGGAATGCAGACCAACACTACCAGCCACAATTTGAGCTGAATGTGACACTGTCAGTGTGTCTGTACGCACCTGCTGTATTGGGCCAGGGTGATACATGGGCAGAAAACTTAATAGGAAAGTCCCACAGAGTCGTAAGACCAGCAGGTTTCAGCTCAGTCAAGATGCCCGTAGGGTTGCTCAGTAGCTAAACTTCAGATAGTTCACTAAATTTTCTGGAAGAAAACCTCATTGCCTTTACCACATTAGAAAAGGGCTTCTGGAGCCTGTAGGATTTAGGTGTTGTTTTGGATCTATTCCTATGAATAACTAACAAAGTTGCTCTGTAGATAGACATGTTCTCTAACTAGCACATGAAAAAAAATCACCTCAGTTTCCACCATCATGTCAGCATTCAACCACTCTTAGGCTAAGACAACAGTGTTAAAACCAATGTTAGAGTTTTTATTTTTGGTTTATAGTGTTAAAATAAAGCAGGAGCTTGGTCCCCAGTCTCAGCAGTACAACAGATTAATGGGTTAAATCAAATTACCATAGGGACACGGTTGCTTCTTATGTTCTGGCACAATAGGCTTCTTCCTAAGAAAATTGTCCAGACTTGGACCATGGCGGCCAAGAGGATCATCAGGAGGCATAAATCTATAAAAAAAGAAAGAAGTATTATTGAAGCAAACAAGCCTTTCCATACTCTTTATGCAATGACCAAGAACCTCATGACTGTGTCCTACACCATAATCTGCCATCTTGTAATTTTTAAGCCTGGGTACCTTGAGAGCAGTTTTGGCAGGCCATATTTCTGCTGCAGTCACTGCCTCACAGGCAAGTCATAGAAACAGTCTGCTTCAGACACCTTAATCTAGCTCAGCGGCAAAGCAGGGCTGCACACAACCCATCCCTAAATCAAAAGTAAGGGCAGCAATACAGGCAGCGTTTTCTTAGAATGCCACAACTAACTCCACAAAACTGTGCTGACTGCCCAGGACTCTTGCATCAGTGTTAGGGCACTCACATACAACCGTCTGCTCGGCAGAGTACGCAGTCCCCCCCATCACAAGAAGCCATCTGCTGTAACTGCAGTTGATCTGTAGGCCAGGCTACAAAGTTACTATAGATGGATCTAATCAGACAGTCGAACTACAAACCTCCTGAGGTTCATTACAACACGGGGTTTCCTATGACTCTAGAACTTCAGAGTGTAACCACAGGCATACATTAAAAGAGAAAAAAGCATAAAAAGACATAAAGATATCACTATAAAAACAGAGTTTTGAGTACTTTTAATTAGAAGAACAAATCTATGATTGACTATTCCTCCTGTTTTTCTACAGGTACCTAATGATCTGGATGTAAGATAAAAAAATCATACAAATCCTCAAACAGTCCTTTCCTCAATTATTTTAATGGCACATATAAAGACAGAATGACTTACTTGTCATTAACAAATGAATACATCAACAAGCGCTCATCTATGAACTTCTTCCATTCTGGCTTTTCATTAGCTAGATCCCTGTAATTATCATTAGAAACAATGATGCCATCTGACTCAAAGGCCAACTTCACTATAAATCGGTCATCGTAGCACACCACCCTTCTCCCTTGCACTCGCCGGGATGGTGTGAACACAAGAATCTTCTCCTTTTCTAATTTACGCAAGATTTCTTGATCTACAAGGAATAACAATCAAAAGTTAAACAAGGAAGAAAAGAAAAATATGTTTGTTTAATCTTTAAAGACCTGAGGAAGAAAATCCAGACATTTAGGACTAAAAATGTCTTTAAATGGTTATAGTCCAGCAGGAGGTGTCCGATATATGATATCTGAAGTTAGGGTCAGCAGTCAGCTGGCAACACTTTCAAAAAAACCCACAAACAAATCAAAACCTCCTGCTCCACACTAGTTCTCTAAGACTAACACAAGGAGGCTTCATTCATATTCCTCTGGTTCAAAAGAAATACTACTTATCAAAAAACCCGTGAAAAACTCCTCTGGTTGAAGGGGTGGTTTTAAACATCACTGAATGTTTCAGTGAATAGGAGGACCATACTCAAGCTATGCATTTCCCATAACTAAGCTCCTTGGTAAAGACAGACCTTTTTCATCTATTTGTGGTACCCAGCAAGAAACACGTTTTGAAAGAATTCCAGTAGCTCACATTAATAGGACTGTCTCATAAAAGTTTCTGCCTATTAAAAGAAGGGGTTGCTACCCATAAGGACTAGAAAACCCACATTCAGTACAAGCACTCAGGCTCTTCCCAAACATTAACAGCATTCCCCAAAAAGACCTCTGATGTCATTTTGTAACCAACAGCAAAAGTTTGGCTTTGGGGTTTTTTTTGTTAACATCAGTAATAGTTCAGATTGTATCTTTCCTTGAATGGTTTACATATTATTTATACCTAAGTTCTTATCAAAGCCAAACAGATTTCTCTTTAATCCTGCTAAATAAGAATATTTAGTATTTTATGCAATTCCTTCTTGTCCTACACAATCTGTCAGTCACATATCCAAAAGCATTTTCTCTTTGTCTGTGTGGAACCTGGAGGTCCCAAGGAGCTTTGAAAGACCTCAGGCTACCAAGGAGGTTGTACCTAGCACTGGGGCACCTACCCCTTATGTTGATTCTCCTACCTATCACTCTCCTCAGACCAGACAAGCTATGAAAGGAAAATATACAAAAAGCTAGGCAACATCTAAACCAGCAGAAGAATATGACTCATGGCTCTTAATAATGATTAAGATCTCAAATAACTCAACTGTTTTGTAGCATAAGAAACTTGACAGGGAACATGTTCCATCTGGGGAAAAAAAAGACTTCAACAGAAAGAAATACAGCATTAATATTACATATAGGCAATATATTTAATACAAGCATTTATCTGCTTAGTAGAAAAAGCAAAAGATTTTAAATTAAATATAACCTTTTTGTATTTACCACTCCACAATAATAAAAAAATCTGCCACCTGATGACTGGCAGGTACTAATAACAAAGATGTGGCTGTTGTTTAGTCCAAGAGGCTTCTCATGAATACTGACAGTCTAGAGCCATCCTCACATCTAGGGCTTTTTCAGAATTCCAGGTGGCCACATGTTTCAGGTGCGTATCTCTGGAAACAGAGTGTCAGCACAATGTATTTCACAAGACTGCTAGCAGATACAGGCTCCCTGTTTCCTGACAAGACAACTGAAGAACCTCTGTTTTACAGAAAATACAATAACCTGCTTTGATCTTCCTCCCATTTTCAGGGTCCATGATGACACATGGAAAACTGAGTTCTCATCGTTAGACAACAGGTCAATTATTCTATGCATTACTACTTTCTTGAAACTCCTTTTGGGGCTTCCAGCCCTATGCACACTTCTAGTTGATGTCACAGTTTATTTCCAAGTACCCACATTTTTATATACTTAGCCAATGTTCTTCCCATACCTCAAACACTAGTACAAGTGAAAGAGAATGGCTTCAAAAGAAAGGCTCCACACTGCTTGTGAGGATGGGAGAACAGCAACTTTCCAAATATTTTCTTGCATTAATGTGATATATTCTAGTAGCAATCAAGTAAAGAGAATGAAAATCTTTCCAGATATCTGAAAATGCACATGGCAATCAAAACATGTTTACATATTCTTTTAGAATCCAGATCTACTACTCTCAAAAGCTTTCACCCCTTTAAAGTAGACAAGTTGGGCCTCCCTTCAAAAAAAAAACCAAACCTTTCCCTCCTTAAATTCTAGGGGTTTTTTAACCCCCAAATTCCCCTCAGTTTCACCTCTAGGACAGATGGAGAATGCCTCTTCAAGCCTTTACACAGAACCTGTTAGTTGCATCAAGAAATAAATATCTCTACACCAATTTTTTTTTCCTAGATAAACACATTCAAAATTAAAATATTCAAAATTTGTCTCACTTGTTAACAGTAACAGTGAAGAGAAAACCATTCCCTTTCTGTCAGGATAGTTTCCATAACCCAAAGCACAGGCAGTGACTCACTGCAGGTGACTAGCAGACAGGCCAGCCTGGCAGAATCTGCTCACCACAATAAAGATCACCCAGCAAATGACTCACTTCAAACCTTTTCACTACTAATGATGCACGGGTATAACAGACGTAAAAAATGGCAATTACATTCTTCACGAAGTAAGTAGCAACGTTAATGGAAACTTGATCAGATGAGCAGAAAAGGAGGACTTGGAAAGGGCATTGCTTTGTCTTTTTCCTTCCTAAAGATCACAATGAAGCTACTACCCCAAAGATATTCTATTAGAACCTTTTATGTCTGAACACTTGTTCATTTGAGCAGTAGCACTCAAGCTGTGCAAAGCATCAGCCAACCAGTGAAGATGGAACAGAGCTTACCTGTTATAAGAGCATCAGGTCTTGACTGTTCTTTCCTCCATGCTGGCACAAACACAGTAACATCCTTGTGGCCTCTTTCCAAAAACCAGTCTACTGCCAATTTGATTCCTCGACAAGAAAATACTTCTTTGTTCCCGTGGCTGAAACACACATTCAAATTCTTTATTAGATGACTTTATTTTTCTATGACCATAAATGGAGCTCAACAAAATGCAGATCTCAAAGCCATGCTCTTCACTTGTTCCATGATTCCTAAAGGCAGCTGGGTGTCAGTCTGAGCCTTGCTCAAACATGGCCATCACTTGCTCCATGGTGTGGGAGAGGGCTACTAAATCTGCCAAACATTTTCATCATCTGTCCACAGATTTGACAAGTAAGGAAAAATATAAGTAGGGTGTGTTAAAAATCCTCATAGCCCAATGAAAAGTATGGGATATAATAGGCAGCTCCAAGACTTGATGAGGGAAGCCAAAAGGCCTGAAATACCAACAGGGGAGTGCAGTGTGTTCAGGAAATGCTAGCAGTTGAGTACTGATCACATGGCAGCAGGGGAAGGGACGGCAGATCCCTGCTGGAAGAGCTCCGTGAGCTCCCATGGGAAGAGGGAAAGACAGAAGAGAAGGTCTCCAAGCCCAAGGGGATGGCAGGCACTCTGCAGGACAAATTAGGCAGTCTGGAGAGACTGTCCAAAATCAACATGACAAAACTAAGAATTAGCTTAGTACTGCACTTCAGAAGGAGAAATTAGCATGTATTAAAAAAGCCGTGGAGAGACAGTTAAACAGAAACTGATCTGACATAAGCAAAACAAAATATGTGTGCCTGTTGTGCAATAACTGTCTGAAGTAAGGCAAGAGACGCAATTATGTCATTTTCTAAAGGCAGACAAGTCCTTGCCCAACTTTTACATCCAGTTTTGGGCAGGACATATTATAAAAGACACAGATGAAATGGAAAGAATCCAAAACAAAGTGAAATGAGACCTATGGGGAAAGGTTGAAGGAAGTACATTTAGTTATTCTGGTGGAAAAGAAGCAGCTTGTGGAGGAGCAAAACAATCTTCAACATATAGAAATTAATTAAAATAGAGGACAGCAATCAACGATTGGGTCTCCACAGAAAAGTTCTGGGAGCAGGGGGCTGCAAGGTGGTTGCTATGAGAAGAGGTCTGTCCCACGCTGGGCATGCCCAGCTCTAGCCTGCTCCACAACGAAGGAGAAGGGAATGAGGGAACACTTAGGCTCGAGGAGGAGGAGGTGCTTCAAGAGGAACAGGTACACCCCCAGAGGGACTTGCAGACTGGAGAAGAGTAAAAGTGCAAGAAGGAAGGAGCAGCAGAGAAAAAGTGACAGCCTGACCCCAATCCCCTGCACTGCTCACAGCTGTTTTGAAGGGACTGACTGTCATCTGCAGCCATGACAAGCTGTGAGAGGTGTCTGAGTGAGGCTGTGATGAGGTAGCACAGAGGACACATATTTGGAGTGAAGAGAGCCTGGGAGAAGGAGAGATGTTCTTCCCCCAGAAAATATTTTAATGTTTGCCTCTTTTGTTTCATAGTACCTGATTCCAGAATTAAATATTTATGTTAACTGGCTATAAATTAAATTCCCCAAGATGAGTCTGTCTGACGTAAAAAATTACTCGGTGAGTGATCTCCCTGTCATTATTTTGACCCATGGGTTTTCTTGCTTCTGTTTCTCTCGTTTTCTCTCTCCCATTCTGCTAGGAAACAGGGAGCCACAGTCAACCCACCATAGTCCCGCTGGATAAGGACAGAGGAGTCCTTAACCAGCATAAGGAACCATTAAGCATTATGTCAGTAAAAGCTTTCAACCTGATCTGTGAGACAGTCTGGACATAGATTTTGGGATCTTCTCACCGGGCACTTTGCAGAACAAGTTAGACAGCTCCTCTGGGGCCATTCTGGGCTCTCCGTGCACAGGAGGAGACAAGTAACTTTTGTGAGGTCTCTCCCAACCCCACAGCTCTGTGTAGCAGAAGAAATACAGGGCCATGGAAATAAACTATCACCTTTCAGTTGGCTGGCTTGTCGTGTATAGCAGGTATGCCACAACCTGCTTTCCAAAAGGGTAGAAGACAATTCTTTCCCCATGGTTTGTGAAAGGGACAATATCGTGATGGATAGCCACTGGAATTTTAAAAGCTCCTTCTACTTGCATGTTTTGAGGTAAATAAAACCACCAGAAAGTTACTTAAAAACACTTTCCCCCCCTCTCAGTAGGGAAATTTTAAGTACCTATTATTTCCAGCTTTCTAAAACATAGCACTGCTGCATGTTTCTTGGTACTGAGGGAGCTTGAGTAATTGTGCAATGGACAAAGTGCCAAAGTAAAAGTGAGAAAAATTTTGAAACAATGTTCAGATTCCAGAAGCCTGTGAAGGAGGTGTCGAGAGAGAATGAGTCATGGTTAACACCTCTCACAAAGCAGCATCCTCAGCAGAGGTTGTGTTGAAGGTCACAGATCCCAAACAAAAGAAAAAAATAAGTTAAAAAAAAAAAAAAAAAAAGAAAGAAAGGAAAAAAAATAGAGCCCACTATCATTAACTGGATTTAAGTGAGGACTTGTACTGTTTCCTCCTCTAATGATACTGGAGAGAGTACCTGGAAAATTAATTATATACTAAGATATTGCAATTGTTGCCAGCCATAATAATCAAAGTTTGTTGATTTTAGCTGGCATGGGGTACTCCAAGCATAGTTCTAAATCCATCTTCTGTGCCTACACTAGGAAGGCTGTCAGGAACAATACAACTATATGTCACTCAATATCCTGTTTAGCTATGGTTACAGGCCTCATACAGGGTACGGTTATAGGCATTCCCTGTTTTGCATGATAATATCATGCAATACAGTATTACATGGTAATGTAATTACCACTAAATGGTAATGACACTGTAATAATAAAACACAGACCAATACTTTTTCTAGGCATTGTTTTATACCATATGACTATTCTTGTGCTTGTTTGTCTGAAAGAGTGGCATATTTGTGTATTTCAGGACTTACTGGGAGTCACACACAGATGTGTCATGCTTAAAAATCACGTGCACATATGCACAGCAGAAATGGCCAACAGTATTTCAGCCACAGAAGGTCTAATTACATCTCCCCTCAACAACACAAAATCAGAACACCTGGTGTGCATTCAGTGCCCACTGGACAGCCAAAAGGCCTCCTTTGCAAAGCCTGATACAGGACATTACTGAACGTGCTATCAGCAGGTGGTATGCAACCACAAACATATTGAGAACCATTTTAAAACAGCCAGGAAGGGCTTGTTCCAGCTACTAAATTCCACTGGAATCACTGTGCTGTTATTACTCTAAACAATCTCCATGGTTTCAAACGGATAAAACCACTTTTCACTCCTGGCACTGAACAAAAGGTGAGTTAGACTACATTTTAGTAAATTATGCTTCTTTCCATAAGTCTGAAAAATCATTTCTGGAATGAAGTCCTGGAATCTGAAAGAAATGGATGCTCTTGCCTGTTGCTTTTCATCTTCCTGTAATTCAGGCATCACTTTTGAAAGCACAGGGAGGGTCAGGCAGTTCAGCTCCTTAGTTTTCTCTAGCCTAATACAGGCTATTAAATATCTTTCATCCAGAATATAAATTTTAAATATACTTAAACTCTATGAAAAAGAAATGCGGAACGCGTTACCATGCATACTAGCTATTTTGCACTGCTGAGCAAGTGAATTTATAACACGTATAAATCTTCACTTTTTTTCTGCTCCTTTTCAGACATATGCCTAAGCTGATAGCTGAGTGGATACAAATTCCAAGAAATTTAAATGATTAGTGAAAAAGTCCGTGAAAGAGATGTGCAATTAAAATTTGTTCTTTTGGCTTGTTGTCATGTAGATTTGATGCTCTTCATTTTGTGATTTTTTTTGCTTCATCAGCTTTGTGATACATCATGTGGTGAAAAGACTGGAATCATGCTGCTGCTTCTGACTTCCTTCTGCTCAGTTGTAAAAAAAAAGGAGAAATGTTTGTACTTCTTTGCTAAGAAAAATTCTTTTAAAAATCTCTTCCCATTTATTAGGAGTATGTGAAAACTCAGACCAGTCAGGTTGACAGCTGTAGCCCTGGGTGAGATACTGGTGTATATACTTTGGTTCTGCTTGCTGCTTATGTTTAATCTGCAACTCTTAGTTGGAAGGTAAAGTATGTTCCTTCAGAAGCATCTATTTCTCTTTCATAGTACACACGAATGATTCTTTTAAACATCACTTTTATATGTGGCCTGTTGATAGTCGTAGTTTTATTTTTAAATGAAAAAAACATCTCCTGGGCAAAAATCAACCAATCCTTTTTTAGGCTAGGAATGTTATTAGAAAGTGGTGAAACATCTGATGAGAACATTTTCATTTTCTCTGTTACCTTCCCAGACCCTAGATCTTCTATTAGATTTTCTAGTGACTGTCTTGAAAAGACTTCTGGTACGCACTCCTAAAAGACTGACTGCTTAGAATACTTGCAAGACTTCTGGTGTGCTCTAATGCAGTATTCAAACCAACACAGAGCTCACATTTTGAAAGCTACAGCAAACATACACATTGATGACAAGAGCTGAGGTCTACAATAGTGCCTTGTTGCAATATGCATACAGGGTTTTATATAATTGAAATCTGCACACATCAAGGCACTTCCCATGTAAAAGCATATTGACTAAAAACAAGAACAAAACTCAAACACATACCTGCCCAGTATAGATATTACAGAGCTACCAAACAGTTATCTTCCATCATACCATAGGAGGAAAACAGTGTTCAGTCCATAGCACAAACAGAGAAGAATTTCCACCCTGTATTGTATCAGTGACTCATAACCCTGGCAGCCTGGCTTTGTAACTAGCCTCATCCCTTTTCAAATTTTTTTTAAGCTCTACTAATTTCTTAATCACAGAAATCATTTGTCCCAGAGGACTTCTCAGTAACCTGGGCCTTCTGTCAGTGCTGCATTTGTTCCTTATATATATATATTTTGATGCTGACACGAACAGTTCCCAAATGTTTTGGGTGTTTTTTTTGTTTTGTTTTTGGGTTTTTTTGTTTGTTGGTTTGGTTTTTTTGTTTTGATTTGGGTTTTTTGGGGGTTTTTTTGGTTGGGT